TAACCTTCCATCCCCAGAAAGATAGAATCTCCTTGACCGAGGTCAATTTCTCCCAATTGAGCATTGTCTCAACTTTTTCGGGGTTCACTGACACTCAATCTCTTGATATGATGTGCTCTAAGAAGGTAGTCTGCTCGAGCTAAAACCCACACTTACTCAACTTTGCATGCAATTTCTTTTCTCTAATAACTTACAAAACCTGTGTCAGATGGAGAACATGTTTTTCTCTACTTTTTGAATAGATCAAGATATCATCGATAAATACAATGATGAATAAATCTATGAATTATTTGAAAATCTTATTCATCAAATCCATAAAGATGGTTGGTGCATTGGTTAGTCCGAATGACATGACCAGGAACTCATAGTGTCCGTATCTAGTTTAGAAAGCTGTATTGGAAATGTTTTCTGTCTTGATCTTTACCTAATGCTAACTTGAATGCAAGTTAATTTTAGAGAAGACCTGGACCCTGCAACTGATAAAAAAGGTGATCGATCTTGAGGAGGGGGTACTTGTTCTTGATCGTGACCTTGTTCAGTCCCTGTAGTCAATACATAACTTTAACGTCTTATCTCCTTTCCTTACAAATGTGACTCCAGCACCCCAAGGAGCAACACTGTATCGGATGAACCCACGGTTTTGTAATTTCTTGATCTATTTCCTCAACTCTTCCATCTCAACATGACTCATGCAGTAAGAAAAAACTAAGATAGGCTGCATTCTAGTCTGAAGTTCTATGGTGAACTCAACTTTCCTATCCATTGGTAGTATGAAAAATTGATTGAAAAATATATTCGGGAAGTTTCGGACTATCGGGATCTCTTGCATACAAATTTTTTTTTTAGGTTTGCCTAGTTTGAGAAAACAACCGAGTTAAAGCTCTATGAAATAAGGAAATTGCTATGAGGGAATAAATTCAAAACTTTTATTAGCTTGTAAATGACTCTTCGTTAGGAGACTTAAATACAGTTTTTCTCATGGAAATAATCCATAGTGGCATGATACGTCGCTAATAAGTTCATTCTTAAAAATACATCAGTGTCCCCCGTGCCAATCTCTATCAAGTCCATAATGGGTGAAACCGAGTCCTGTGGAAGAGTTGCCAGATGTTGCTGGGAAGGGACAAGGTGGCTTTGTAATAGTGCCGGATTTTGGTGGCTCTGAAATGTATTGTGGCTGCGTCGGATGATATGACGGAGGAGCAGGGTTGCATTGTGGTGACGTTAAATCCTCCTGTTGTAGTGGTGGCTCATATTATGGAAGTGGTAGAGGGTTACAGTTCCCTCCTCTCTTTACTGGCCTACTGGACAAAGATAAGTCTCTCTAAAATTTCAAATAGCCGATCGACATCCTCTCGAAACGATCCATCTCAGGCTGCCCTGTTCAGTAAGGGACCTCATTTCCTCATATTTTTGTACTTATTTTTCATAAGGAAGTGTTGGACAATAGTTCGTATTTGGTAAAGGTGTAAGGAATAATTCTGAGGAACCTGGCTTTGATACCAACTGTAGAGGCCCAGAACTTAAAAGGAAATAAAGTCATAAATTAAGTGCGGAAGTGAAATAATAGAGTCTAGGGTTTATATTCCTTACACAATAATTTAGAATGCCCAATAGGGCTACGGGAATGACAATTCTAAAAGAATAAACAAGAATTAAGGAAATAAATAAAAGGTAATATGCTGAACATTCTATGAAGACCATCACTAGCTTTTGAAAGTAGTTCAGGTGGTGAACTATTCACAACTCTCTTGTTGATCGGGATCTGAGTCTTGGTTCTCTTAATGTGAAATAGTTAATGAAAGCGTGAGCTACACTAGTCCAGTAAGAATATCACACTACTCACCGATACAGAAACAGAAGGTTGGTAAAAATCATAAAATAACCAATGAAGCTCTTTTTTTAAGTAAATTCATTTACCATAAAAAATTATTCATTGTATATATTTACTATTGCGAGATTTCTAAAATTAACTCATAAAGACAATAAATCAAATAACATTATAACCTCAAATTCAAGTGAGTAAAGAACAATAACTTTTCCGTTTTATTTGCCCACTGGTATCCCTGATGGCCCATAGGGATATCCCATTATGCGTGAACTCATATCCAACATTGTCAACAAACTGACCATCCCTATATCTCATCCGGTATGAATGCAAAAAATATCATCCTTCAATATCCTGTCCGGTATGAGGATGAATCGGGCCTTCCATATAACCCGTTTGGTATGAACGCTAAAAATACCATTCATCGATATCTTGTCCGGTATGAGCCAATGTTTACGGTAAAGTTCTCTTTGTACCCGATCCGTCCACCATCTCCCAAGATATCCAGTAAGGCTACCATTCATTAATTCAAATGACCAAACAATTTTTCGTTTGCATATTAATTACCAATTTCACAAATCAACCGTAAATCACGCAAGACAAACAATATATATATCAAAGAAGCACAATTGAATCATTTAACCATTCTAATATATCATCATGTATTTAAATATGTAAATTTAACAATAAGTTAAACAGGATAACAAATAAATAACTAACCAGTTTCCGGCTCCATTAGTAACCTGTAATTATTCGCAAAGTTTTTAAATTACACAAAATATCATATTACTTATTATTAAGCTTGAATTCCATAACAGAGAATAAGGTGAGATATTCTTATCACAATCGGTATCTGAAACACCAAACTTTCTACTGTGCTTACTGATGGTCCTCGGATTTCTTGCATTTTCATACAGAGATTAAAACACACTTTACGTACCTAAAAATACCCCAAAAAATTCAAAATAAGTGTTAAAAACCTTTTTCGGTCAATTTTAAAATTCTAGCATAGCGGCACCGCCATGCTCCGGCGATAGTACCGCTGTCCATGGCGACGGTTTGCCTCGGCCTGGCTGTTTTCAGCTAGTTTTGGCCAGTTTCAGCTGGTTTTATACCCATCCCTGCGATAAAACACGTTAGGGGGCCTCGGTTGGCCCAAAAAAGTTAAAAAATAAAAATTTATCGACGACAGAATTTTTTGATGCGGTGGCTCTGCCAACTTACTTTCGTGGCTGGGTGTTTTAATTTGGTCAACCAGTAAAAAACAGAACGGTGAACACAATTGTGGAAAAATCGCACAAAATGGAAAACGGGAAGGGACTCATTAGAGGCGATTTCTGATTTTGCCCGCGATGGTGGCGCCAGACTTTTCCCACGATTTTTAGCTCATCCGCCATTCTTTTTGCTCTGATTTGGCCATGGGGGTGTTTAAAATCGAATTCCGAATGGATAAGAGAATTTTTACCTTTTTTTGCGGTCGAAGGTGGCTCCAACGCAGTGGTAGGCGGCGATCAACTCCCTTTTTCGACGACTGGTTCTTCTTCTCCAGCGGGAGGCTGGTGGTTAGGGTTTGAGTTTGGTATGATGTGAGATATTTATACTCGTCTCGTTTAAATCTGGATCGTTCATCGTGTTTGATCTCGACCGTTCAATCGCGTTTAAAGAGAAAATGAATATTGACCATTCATCGCGATTTGATCTTAACCGTTCGATTGTGTTTAAAGAAAGAATGAATCATGAACATTCATCGTGTTTAATCACGACCGCCTGATCGCACCTAATGAGGAAATAGATCAGGACCATCCACGCGCGCGAGAACACTTTCGGACCGTCCGATCCTGTGGCATGCAGATCCCAGTGTTTCCTCTTGCGTGGCACTGAGTTAGCGTATCTTGTCATGCGGCATGCTCCGGTTCGTCGGGGCTGCTGAATGGGCGGTCATACATGGTACAATTTTCTTTAATTGTATTTTGACTCACAGTTTTTTATTTTTATTTCAAAAATACCATTCGAACCCAAATTTTTACCTATTTTTTCTAAAATTATTTTTAATTTAATGCTCAACCTTTTTTTTTTCTAATTTCACATTAAATAAAAATTTATTAATTTCAAAATTATATTTTTATATATTTTTTTTAAATTTTAAAATTAATTTCAGACTAAATTTTGGACCCGAGTATTTCACACACAATAACTTTGACAATAACCACGTCATAAGCCGAGTCAAAACTGTTGTTTATACATTGGTATTTTTTATTAAAAATAATTAAAAATTAAAAATTTATACGTGTCAAATGTTACATTATCAAACACTCAATACCTGATGTGAATATTAATTTAATTAGAATATAATACGTGTTTAACTTATATCCACATGATACTTTTGCTAATGCAATTAATGTGCATTACCGATTAAAAAGTAAATCAAAATTTTTAAAAAAATAAAAGGATCAAAATTATTTAAAAAATTATAAAAAGACTAATTTAAATATTTTAATATAGTAAAATTACCAATTTAGTACATAGCTCAATAACTACTATATTTTTAAACTTTAGCAAAAAAAAAAAAAATTACTTGGTTGATTTGTTATTTATTTTATTAAAGATTTTGTTATTTTTTTTATCATTTAATAATATATATTTTAATATTGAAAATACATTTATCTATTATCTAAAATATGAAAAATAGATTATTCATCATTACCAACAAATATTATTTATTTTTTTGGTCCATATATCAATGAATTCTTTATGCATTTTTTTTATATGATAATTATGTTTCATAAAATGAATTATATGGAGTATAATGTATAAGAGCTCAATAATTATTTTAATTTTCTGTATAATACAGCAAATCTTAGTGGACAAAATATGATATAAAGATTTGAAATGTTTGAAGTTATTTATATTTTAGATATATAATAATTACTTAATTAAATAAATAAATAAATAAGTTTTACATGCTTTTCTAGTAGTCAAATTTGAAATTCTTGTTGTTCAAGATAAGTTTCGTCTTTAAACTCAAGAACATCATTTATCTAAAAATAAAATAATTTTTATTTTTTAATAAAAAATCAAAAATAAAAAACATAACAAGAGACGAGAGTCAAAAACAGTAATTTACCAGGGAACCCAAGGCAGAACAAATCGCCATACATTTTCAGACTGTCAATGGAAGAGAATTGTGCAATGTATTAAGACATAACAAAAGAGTTTCTATACATGGTATCTATAAGTTTTTACATTATAATATCGAAGACGTTAAAATTAAGTTGACCCAAATTCACAGGATAATATTACATCAACAATCTTAGTAGTAAAGATTTCTGAGTTGAATGGTAAATGAAACTCAGAAAGGCAGGTTTTTATCCATGTTCTTCTATGTAGGTAAACCTTCCAAGTTATATTGCATAACAAGTCTTTCCACAGCATGTTGACTCACAACTCTCCTCAATCTCAACTCTCCTAAAACTTTTGCAGCTAGCTCAACTTCATCTTCATTCACTATCCCTTCAACCAGAATCGTATAAGTCGTTTCGTTAGGCATATATCTCTTATCAATCATTGTTTCAAAAACCTCTAGCGACAAATCTGTTCTCTGGGATTTACACAATCCAAGTATAAGGGAATTGAAATTATCAACATCAGGCCTATGCCCACTTTGTTCCATTATGATCAAAATTTGCATGGCTCCATTCAGCATTCCTTCTAGACAAAGCCCTCTGATCAAAGCTGAGTAAGTAGAAGAATCAGGAATAAACCCATACCTTGTCATTTCAAATAAAAGTTTAAGTGCTGGGTATGTATTCCCTCTTCTACATAAGCTTGAAATAACAGTCTTGTAGAATTCATTTGTCGAAGATTTTTGTTTGTTCCCCAGGCTTTGAATTACAGAGAATGCTTCTTGCACCTTCCCTTGCTCACAGAGTGCAGCAATAGCATTATAAGTCCCCTCGTTGGGACTACAACGTCGATAAATCATTTGGTCTAGACACTTTACAACCATATCCACCTTCCCCTCTTTGCAGAGACGAGCAATTATGGGGTTGTAGCTAGTCGTAGTGACCTTAAATCGTGCTCTCGTCATTTCCTCCAACACTTGTAAAGCATCCTGTATGCGTCCATGAAGAGCAAGTGAATTGATCAATATATTGTAGGTAACTATAGATGGTGAACGTTCCTCCCCATCCATCTCCGCGAGAAGCATATTTGCCTCCTCCCACCGTTCTTCGCAACACAAACTCCTGAGCAAAATGTTGTAGCTCACTACATTGGGTTTGAATCCTTTCGAAGGTAAATCCCTGAATAGGCGAATTGCCTTATCTGTTCTACCTTCCTTGCATAAACCAGTTAATAGAACATTGTAAGTAACCAAGTTAGGCTTCCCACCCTTTTGGATGATCTCATCCAAGAGCCTCATAGCTTCATTTGCACCTCTTTCCTTATAAGCAGCTTCAAGCAAGAATGAATAAGTAAAAGCATTTGGGACTAAACCTTTATGCATCAGTTTATCCAAGAGCTGTAAGCTCTGATTCAAGTTTCCATGCATACAAAGACCTCTAACCAGTGAATTATAAGTTACAGTATTTGTTGGGTAACCATACTCCTCCATTTTTTCAACTAACTGCATTGCATGGCCAACATTTCCTTTCTTACACAAATGATTCACCAAGTAAGTATAAGAAGCTGCATCTGGTATAATACCAGAGCTAACCATCATCTCCATAACCCTAATAGCTTTCTTCAGCTTATTTGCCTTGCACAAATCATACAGTAACTGAGTAGCTTGAATTACATCAGGCTTATGCCCTTTCCCCACCATATACTCCAAATGGTAAAATGCATCATTCAACCTTTCCTTACTTGGATCATTATTCTTCCCAGACTTCCAATTGGGTAGACTAAAAACAGAATCTTTTTGAGAAATACTCATTTGGGAGGCTGCCAAAAGTTTAGTAAAACCCTTGTTGAGTGAAAAGGAATGCAAATTAGGAATATGGGAGAAGAACCCATGAGCCTTTCTTGCTATTTCTGAAGAAGATGGGTAATTTGTTATAGATGAAACTGAATTCAACAAAGTTGTCATGGCAAATTTTTTCTAGGTTCTAGGTTCCTTTCTTCTTCCTGTTTGCATAAACGCAAGACAGGTTCAGTTCTCAGGAATCCAGAGGAGAAAATAAGTGAATTACAGATAAGAATGTTTTGAAACACATGAAATAATCACAGAGAAACGAGTTGAGGGAAGATTAACATACACTGGATCTGGAAACTTTTTCTCTCAATCTTTCATTTTCTCAAGAATTTTCAGTTCTTTTCTCTGTATTTGCTTTCGTTGATTCAAGCTAAACTGACATGGCCCATTTCCAGTCCACCACTCAGCTCTCCCGTTATCCAAGTTCCATTATTTCACAATCATCACGCGCCAACTGCTGGCGTGCAGGTACGCGCAAACTTTTTGGCGGGCCATCCGTTCGGGGGTTTGATTAATCTTATTAAAAAATTATAAAAAAATTGAAGTTTAAAATGCGTTAATTATGTTTATTAACCTAATTAATTAATTTTTGTTCATAATAACCTTTTTAAAGCATTTAAGTATTGGAGATAAAATTGGCAATTTAATTTTATTCATCTCCACGTTTTTTGTTCTCCTTAAATTTAAAGGTTACTTTTTTCACTATAATTTTCAACATTATGATTTTGTTTAAATTTTTTTTAATTTTTTTATAAATATTTCATAATTTTAATTATTATATATAGTATATATATTAAAAAAGAATACTGAAAAATTACCATGTGTCAAATTTTTAATTTTTTTAAAAATAAAATTATTATGATAATATATATCTTTAAAATAAAATATTATTTTTAATTAACTACGGAGAATTGGTTATATAATTTAAATATACTATAATATAAGAATCTTATTCTATTCTAAATAAAAAATCTTAACTGATTAGTACCAAAAATACATATTTTTAGTTAAAATGATAATTTATAGATTTAAAAATTAATGGATAATAATATTATTATAATAATAGATTTATACTGGAATATAAATAAAAAAAAAGAAAAACTATTAGAACTGTATTTCTAATAAAAAGGGAGGCCGGGATAATTGACAAATGAAGAACCAAAAATGAATGGATTTTCCAATCTACAACGTACTTATATTACATCAATGAAAAGAAACCTAATACGAGCAAATGGGAGGGGGAAGGGCAACTCACGTGAATTGATCATAAAGAATACATCTTTATCTTTTTAAGAGTCCTTTTAGGACTAGAAATTGCGGCAACATGGATGTTGAAGTCGAATTTGCATTATAAAGTTCAAAAGAATTTTCTACTTCAAGAAATTAATTAATTAAAGAGAGTTGGAATCATAAAAGATGAAGTAAACACAAAGGAGGAAGAACTCCTATTCCTAACCAAATTTTCATTCTTAATTTTCTCATGAATAATGTTGGATTTTAAGGTTTCTTCAACAACAATTAATTAAATATTGAAGTTCAAATCCAAGTCAAATAAAGCGTGGAGAATTCGACTGAAATCCCACTACTTTTCACAAGAGAAGGCTTTTATTTTAATTATGTTTATGCTTCTTTATATTCATATTTTATTAGATTTCTAGATAAAAATGTAATTAGAATTTTTCTAGAATTTAGTTTTTAAATTATAGTATAAATAGTAAGGTTCATGCCTATATAAAAGCCTTACTCATTTGGTTGTAAAGATCAAAATTTGAAATCAATAAAATTAATCTTTTAGCTCAGATTAGCTGTTGCTTAAGTTGCTCTTTAGAGAAGTGTCTTTAACATTCTTATTGAATGGAGAATTAGTATCTACTTATTAAAGTAACTTGTAGAGTTTTCATCAATTTTTTTATTGAGTTGGTATTAATTTATCAAAATATTTCTTGTGATGTTCTAGTCAATTTAATTTATCTCAATTATCTTAGTTTGTATTTACAAGTTAAATATGAGTTAAGTAGGAAATGTTTATTTAACAATTTAAGTTTTTGCATGCTAATGTTATATGTAAAGTTTTGGATTGCATGTATTAATCTCGGATTCCGTATCAAAACCTTTCACCTAAAAAGCAAACAAAAGCGGACCATGCACAACTCACCAAGCTACATATTGTCCCAAATGCAAAA